AAACAGATAACAGGAGAGGGATCACTTGATGAATACCTGTTCTGTTCACTCCCTCTGGGCCATCTGGCATTGGCCACTGTTGGAAGACAGGATACTGGGCTAAATGGACCTTTGGTCTGACCCAGTCTGGCCATTCTTATGTTCCAATGTTAGGGCCTCATAGTAAGGTGGGTAGCTAAGGCCCATGTCAGTTCCCCACAGGAAAGTTGTTGGCACTGCCCCAGACAAATGCCATGTCGACTACATGCAATATTCATAGCTGAATTTTGTTCAGTCAGTGTTCATTTTAAGGCGTCTATGGTGTGTTGACCACAGGTTGAATCATTTAAAGTTTAGTGGTGCACACATGGAAAAAAAAAGGTTGAAAACCACTGCAATAAAACATCACTTTTTTACAAATGGGCATAATGTTTTGTGGGTGGAGATAAATGCAGGAAAATTATTGGTTTGTGCAAGCCATATTATGACTACAGATTACATGCAAGTTGTTTTGCAATTACTCATTCTCCAAGTCTTCAGAAGATTACTGCCAAGATTTATAAATGAGTACAATTTCAGTACAAAAAAGATAGGTACCTTGGGTGCTTTCTCTATCTCCACAAGGCACATCCTACAGTTTCCAGCAACAGACAATCGATCATGGTAACAAAAGCGAGGTATCTGCATTCCAACCTTTTCACAGGCCTTGAAAAGGAAGAAACAAAAAAAATTAAGTTAGAGAATTAGCTCTTACGATCTTGGTTCAACTAAAATGCAACTGAATTTTCAATTCTAAAATTTCACAGACAATGAAAAATTGTGTGGTTTTCATGGAGCATTGTGTGGTTTTTCCCTTAGGCTGAGGTGTCACAGGTAAGACACGGGAAGTAACTGTCCCGTCCTACTTAGCACTCTTTCTTGAAAAAAAGATGACTGAGAAAGGATAACTAATAACAGTCTTCACATGTGTTAAAGACTACCAGGATAGATATGCATATTTACTTGGCCCTGCATCAGCACCAAGAGCCAGACTATATCAGTGGTTCCCAAGTAGGAAACCAGGGCTGGTTTCAGAGAGTCCACCAAGCAGGGCCAGCATTAGACTCCCTGGGGCCCAGAGCAGAAATCAAAAGCCTGACTGCATGAGGCTGAAACATAAGGCTCTGAGCCAGCCACTCCAGGCTAAAACCTAGAAATATGGCTTTGCAAGGGGCCTGGTGTCATGGGACATGAGGCAACTGCCCTGCTTGCTACCCCCCAATGCCAGTCCTGGCTTTTATAATACAGAAGAAAAAAAAAGTTGTTGCAACATGAATGGACTGTGGAGTTTATAGCACATTTGCGGGGAGTGGGTGGCTCAAAGAAAAGTCACCATGCCTAGAGGACTCTCGAGATGCTTTCCATTCAGACATACGTTCTACGTAGCATGCAGGAAGGTAAAAATGTGAAAACAACTAAAGCTGTTGTTTTGTCTGGTCTCTTCTATCTGACTGGAGGGTTTTCCGTTTATAATACTAAGACTGCTGCCAGATGCTGCAGAGGAATTCAAAAGGGAGGTAAATATCACAGATTTAGTGGCGAATAAAATGAATTCCTAGTTCACTGTCAACTTCTACAAAAAAGTTTCATGTGAATAGAGCACTGAGATAAGAGTTAATTAAGCAGCAATAGAGTATAAGAAAAACACCGCAATGGACTATTAGCTGGGAATTGCAAAGCCACAATAATTTTAAATATAATGCACATCTAAGGGCACAATTCTGCCCTCTGAAATGAACCCTGGCTGCATACTTTACTTGCCCTTTCTCAACATCTGGCTCTGTCTTATTGCTTCTAAAAATTAATTTAAAAGTTTGCTTGAAAAGCTGGCCTAGTGGCCCAGTTGCAATGCTAAACATAGCCGTGAAAACTTTGGATCCCATTCTGACATTTTGCTTTGGGCCAAAAAGAGTGAAAGTGCAGCAAAGGCATGCATAGAGTTCTGAGCCATAAGACCTTCAGGCAGGAAGTGAAGCTGTATCTGGAATACTCTAAGTATAGCACATAACAGAGGGCTCTCAGAGAACCCTGTTCACTCCACTATCAAAAGAGCAGTAGCCCCATAAAGCATGGAAAGATAGAGGATGTGACCCTTACAGTTTTGGCTAGGACACAAGAGAGCCACTATAATACTATACAGGCAGTCCCCGGGTTACGTACAAGATAGGGACTGTAGGTTTGTTCTTAAGTTGAATCTGTATGTAAGTCGGAACTGGCGTCCAGATTCAGCCGCTGCTGAAACTGACCGCCA